TTTATTTAAATCTCTTTACTTCAATATATTTCATGCTACTTAGGTGAGGTTTTTTTATATTTTTTTATATTTATTTTATATACTCTAAATCTGCTAAGTACTATATATATAGTTTTTATAGAAATTAATTATACACACATAATATCAATTATTTTTTATTTATTTTTTTCATGTTCTAAAATATGTATTTTTAAATGAAACAATCTAATTAATGTTTTGAAAGAACCTCTTAATTCTTCGGATATAATTTTTTATACTAATACTATAAATTATTTTATATATATACATATATATATATATATATATATATATATTAAATAAGTTCGTCAAATATATATATTCGATTTACATCAATCTTCGAAACAAAACATCTACTCTCATAATGTCATACGGATCGTTAATATTATTTATATAATGATTGTCTTACCGTAATATAGTGTTGTTATCCAACTAGTTAATATTGATTGTAATCGATCCTTTCAAAAATAAAAAATAAAAAAATTTGGCAACAATCTTTTTTAATAGTAGTAGTAAAAACAAGTAGGCTATGATATAAATAACCTTTTCGGGCGTACATAATTGACTTTGTTTTTCTATTTTTGGATAAATAATCACGCCTACCTTTCCTCCCTGTCAACAAAACATATTTATGAATTGTGATGCCACATAGTCTCGAAACGATTTAAGAAGTTGATGATAATTAAACATACGTAAGTGTAGGATATATATATATCTAGGAACAAAGGTTCGGCCTAACATTAGGCTACTCATATATCTAATAACTTTTTTCAATAGAAGCAAGTTTCAAATTTCAACGACTGAATGTTTTTCAATTATAATTTAAAAAAAAAAAGGGATGAAAGAGAATGGTGGATGTCATAGGTGGAGTGATTAAAGAATATTTTTTATTTATCACGTTAGCGATTCGGTTTTTATTTTTGAAAAACTCCTCCTTTTGTGATATTAAATATGAATTGTTGGTGGATTCAAAAAAATTATTTTTTAAAATCGATTAAAATCTAAACGTAATCTAATACTAATTTAATTCAAAAAAATAATAATTAACTTTATCTGAATTGATGCAAAAACTAACTTGAAAATATTTTATTATCTTAAAATATTTCAAAAGAACATGTATTTTATTATTTGCCTCTTAGAAACAGACTATCAAAAGCATCTTAACATTTTTTTTTCCTTTCCCAATTCTTTGTTTCTATCTTTCTCCTTTAATATAGACAAAGTGAGAGGGAATTTTAAAGTGACTCCCATGATTGTGAGATGAAATCAAATAAGTCCTGTTGTATATATAGGACCTTGGCTAGGATTCTGGTATCCGTTCCCATCCAACCCTTATGTTCACAAAATAAGCAAGTATAGTATAGGACCCAGGGCAACTTTTGGACGTTGGCCGGTGAGATAGATTGAGACATGCATTCAACAAGACTTTTTAAGTCTAGTACCATTGAATCGTAGTTTTGAACGTTAGGTTTGATTTTTTGATAAAATTCTCGTGCAAAATAATCATGGTTTTAGCTAGAATAAATGTTGGACCATTAGCACGTACGTATGATACCACATTTCTTTTTCTTTTTTTGCGTTTTTAAAACCAGCTTTTGCACACTGAAATTAAATCCACCTATTTATTTCGAGTAAAGGGCAAACCATCCACATTAAAATTAGAAATTTATAAAAAATTTATTTCTCATGATCTGATTTGAAGTTCTTTAAATATTAGACTAACCCCCTCAGATTCGATATCAAGAATTGTATTGGCTACTATTGCTAAAACCTTTAAGTATTTAATTTAAGAGTAACGTTAAATATTAACAAAACATAACAAAAAAAAGAAAAAATTCAAGAACGCACATGAGCCTAAATATTAGTAGGACTAACCGTTCATCGAATTTCATATTAATTAAATCACAATTCAATTACTCACAACCTTAAAAGAAAATTTCTTGTTATTTAGCATTTTTCATCATTTAAATATCTTAACCCCTATATATATATATATATATATATATATATTTGGATTTTCAAGGTATTCCTACTCCAAATTAATCCATCGTTACTCGATTAGATGCATAATATAAATACAATTATCGAAGTAGTTTTTTACATGTATAAAAATTCAAACTCAATATCATTTACTTAAATAATTAAAACTTTTTTCACACAAATCAATTATTTTAAATATTAATCAGCATCTCGTTAGCATGCTTGATTTGTTGGAACCAGATAGCTTATTAATTATTTGGGTAGCATATTGGTCGCTCATGATAATTATTAAGCTATTTAATAATATGGATCTATCTTTCAAAGAGGCTAGCGCTGACAGATTCCACCTAAACCCTTAATTATTTTATGGGATGCATATTGTCGGCTCTCCTGGTTATAAAATTCGTTGCTAATCAGTACTATTCTTCTTAAGGTCAATTGCATTTTTTCGTTATGTAAAATTTTCAATTAAGATGGTGCCAACACAAAAGCCAAGGACTTGTGTTTTTAAATCAAGACATGCATTTTTTCGTTGGAGTAAATTATGTTAAAACTACTTCGTAGTAGTATTTGTATTTTCAACTAAATTAATTATACATGTAGACAACAAATCGAAAGAGACATAATAATAATTATTATTATTATCTAAAATAAAAGATTTGTCTTAACTCTTACGAATTATATATGTTGTCTGTCCTCTTCAATCTTTTCTTCTTTATTTATAGGAGCCTTAACATCGGTCAACTTCATTGACAATATATGAGTGGATGGGCCAACTTCATACCTAAAATTCAACCAAAGGCGCAGTTTCTACCTACATATATATATATTTAGAGAACTGGCAATCCGTCTTATTGTCTAGGGTTAGAACTCTTTCTCACATTTGATGTGATCTACATATGTTCATTAACATGTTTTGGGGAACACCAGTACTGTGACCCACCAGATATATATGTCATATATAAAATGAAATCTTACCAACCTTGCTGATAAGAAGAGTAAGAATTATACTACTTGTACAGCTACATCCATCATTAGTAAACAGTGCTTTTACCATTTTATTAAAATAAGCTTTTTATTATCAATTCGATCAAACAAACGCACGTATTTTCAAATTCAACAAATTATGTACAACTTTTTATTTCCAAATGAATAATAACAAAGAGACCCTTTTAATTGAATTGGTAAAAATACTAGACCAAATAATAGATTTAGCCAATTGGTACTACGACCGAGCAATGAGATTTAGAATTTAACAACATTTTTGAGACGCGTTACATTTTAGATCGGATAAAATATATAAAATTATTTTATTTTGATATCTTGTGTTATATTATACATCTATCAAAATATAACAAATTTTGTATTTGATTGATTATTATTTATATTTTTTATAAAAAAATTATTTAATAGTATGAAGAATCTTAAAACCAATGGATTCTTAGCTAAAAATTTATTTATAATATTTTTAAAATATTTTTTGCCTTAAATTTTTTTATTAAAAAATTAGAGAAAAAGGACTAAAGTGACAAAAAAGAAAAAAAAGAATTGAAACCAAACAAAAAATATTTTGTAGATTAAAAAAACTATATTTAAAAAAATGACCAAAGCGCAAAGTTAAGAAAACTTTCATTATAAATATATTAAAAATATTTAAAAATTATAAAAATATCAATGCATAGTGAAAGAAATAATACTTTTAATGTGTGTAAATTATAAAATAAGTATAAATAAATAGTATTTTAAATAGTAAATGAATAGAAATTTTTATTTATAATTGTTTCAACTTTTAGCAACATTATTTATTTCCTAAATAGGAGAGTTATTAATGTGCCACTTATCCACCAACTACCATATGGTCTCAAAATGCTTGGCCTAACCTCCTTAACATCCCCTATTTGATATAGTATTAGATGTTTAGACTGTCCGCTGTCAATCAACTCAAAAGATTCTTGGCCATTAGGGATAGCTCTACTTATCCAAAGACAACATCCATGGAACTATGTCTCTGTCCCTCAAGATCCAACCAGCAATTAATGCCATGGAGAGACCGCACGGGGTAATGGCCTAACGGGTAGGCTGTGCACTGCCTGTGATCACCGCCATGCGTATTGTCTTTTTCCATTCTCTTTATTAATTATAATGGCCACGCCTGTTGTCTTTTTCATCTCTTTTTATTAATTATACTTTTTTATTTCCATTTAACATTGCATGAAAGTGCTTTCCATTCAACGCCCAAAGCATTTGCCAAGCGAAATTTAGAGGATGGCCCAAAATGCCAATTCTGAGCTTGCAACAAGGTTATGGACTTGAGCCATTTGTTTTCATCGTTTCAAACCTTCCTGGGTTGAGATATTTTGTTAGAGCTTGCGGGGAGATCTGGGTCGAATCCTGTGTGTTTCGGTAGATGTTATTAATTACTTTAATGAGTAAATATATATTTAAAAAAATGTAATTTACAGAAAACATCTTTTCAATAAAAACAACACCTAATGCAGTAATTTTACAGATCACATATATAATCGGTAACTCGCAGTATCTGTTTATAAGCTTTTCGCGTAGAGCTTTTTTTGCTCTTCATTGGTATTTGAATCAATGACGGGTAAATGATTAAACCTAATTCCTGTCTTATCCCATTCAGGTAACGGATTTGGTTAAGGAAATGGTTTTGAATTGGGACTTGGGCCTCCCAGCTGGGCTGTGAAGACTTGCCATAGAGAAGCCTGTTTCTGGTTAAAATGCCAAGCTCGGATCAGTCAGATAAAAAAAATGAAAAATCTATTATGGCGTCGCCCGGACTCGAACCGGAGACCTTCAGTGTGTTAGACTAACGTGATAACCAACTACACCACGACACCAGACTTGTAAAGCTGGTTAAATTCAATATATATATAAAGTATTATACGAAACATCATCAGTCCGATATGTGTGATAGGATAGCGAGGCAATTAGCATAGAAGAATAAGGAGGGAGGGGAGGAGGAGAAGAGAGTATTGACCATGATGATGGGAGTGGGCAACGCTGCGTCTTCCATTTCTTTCTCTTATTGTGGTTTAATCCCAAAAAATCCAAACCTAACTCTTAAAACCCAACATTTACTCTTTAAAGTCAGTTCCACCCATAATTTCCATTTCCACAGTAAAATACCTGCTACTAGTTCAACGTTCCGCCGTCTACATGCTCGACGAAAAGACAGCATTGCTCCTCCAGCTTTCGTGAGCGATTTTGATGACCAGTACGATGATATTGACGATGATGAGATTGATTATGATGATGAAGATGACGAAGAATTTATGCCGTTTGGGAAGATGAAGAAGTGGCTTGAGGAAAAACCACGTGGGTTTGGTGAAGGCAAAGTTTATGACACTCGTACTGAAGACAAACTGCTTGAAGAAATTGAACAGAGCAGACTTGCTCAGGCTGCTAATATTAATAATCTCAAAAATCCTAATCCTGCTGCACCCAACAAGACTGGCCACCAAACTAAGAAAGGTCAGTATTGCTTCCCCCAATTTCTCTTTGAGCTTTATATGTTATGGTTGCCATAATCGCATCCGTCAATGCATTTTCCCAGCTCCTATGGAAAAAGTAAATGATTTTAAGGTTGCTAATTGTCGTGTCTATTTTCGGTTACTAGACATTAGACAAGACAATGTGGTGGTGCAGAAGACACATACTAGATACTTGTTTCGAAACTTGCGATGGAAAAAAATATACTAATGAAGTTCAATGAATAACGTGCGAATGGGATATCAGAAGTATTCTGAGTTTGGATAGAATTCTTACTTGCCGCATTCATCCATTCGAGTATCCATTCACATGAAATTATGGTTGGAAGGGTTCATAGAATAGATAAATGTTACCTTGTATTTTATTCTTCTTATGCTCAACCTACACTGATTTTGAAAAACGAAAAAACCGAATCCCGTTACTGTTACTGTTTTGTATTCTTTTTAATCAAAACTTGGACAAACAGGAACTTGAATTGAAATAGAAATTAACTTTTCATAGCAGGTCTAAATACTTAAACAACTTTTATGAAATGTAAACAGAGAATAATGTTATGCATTCAGCATTGCAAGTAACAATTGGCTTACAGATAGGAGAATTTTACACACATTGCCTGAAATACAAATACTCTTTTAAGTATCTGGCCACACCAGTTGAAATATAAATGTCTTTAATTACGCTTTGGGGAAACCTTTATGCAAACGACATCTCGAACAAGAACTATCAGTCCTTGGCTGCTTCAAATAAATTTTAAGCGAAGTATTTGCAGCAAAGTTGGCCCAAAAAAAAACAGAGGAAAGAGACAAAAAGGAAGGTAGGTCTTCAAAACTTAGTCTAAAGGGAGATGCTCGTACTAGTTGTCAGCCCCTGGCTCTATACGAGGGCTGGTATGTCATCCCACCCTTGTTCTTGTTTCTTTATTTTTGCAGATACATGGAGCATCCTTGGCTAATAAAACTCTAGTATTACCAAAAACAAGAAGTAGATGGTGTAATATTAATAAGCTAAATGGTAGTAGACATGTGGTCAACTCTAGCTTACTGTAGTTCTTCCTGTATTCGTGATACACATAATTGCCAGTGCCTGCATCCTTTTTCCAGAAGTCCCATAAATAGATGTTGTTGCTGTTCTTCTAGGTTCCATTTTATTATACTTCTAAATGTGTTTGTAGGAGCATAATTCTTAATGCATTGCTAGGTTGTTTTCAAAATGCATTTATCATCAATAAATGTTTGTACTTTATGTAAGCAGTAGACAATGTGTAGTCTGTTTAACTCGAGTCTGATTTTGCACAACTATACTGGATCAATGCAGCACCCGATGCTATACCAACTGGTATTTGTGTGAGTGTCTTCAACCTTCCAAAGAAAAAGAACATCCACAGAGATTTGAAATCAGCTTTTAAAGATGTCTGTGGTATTCTTAATATAATCCCAGCTGTTTCTGGAAACAAGAAGACAAAAGATCCTATTTGCAAGGGCTATGCTTTTGTTTATTTCAAGTCAGAGGAGGATGCTGCTAGGTAAATATATGCTTTTTGCGGTTTACGATTGAAATATCATAATGGGAAATTCTGCATGCTTTTGTTGCATGATATTATAGCTATGACAAACTATTGAAGATTGTGATTTCTATTGCTGGTCTTGAAAACATCACTCCTGGTTTCTACAATCGGTAAATGTTGGGTGTAACACTCAAAAAATAACGCATAAGATAGATGCCACGTTGAATTATGTTGCAAGCCTGTACCTTATAGACAAACTCTTATAGCTATTTTGCTTCGAGAGGGTGGCGAGGTTTAAGATGAAGAACACAAATTTGACTTTGCATTCCTTTAAAAAATTTGATGGTTTGTTCATCTATAGAATTTCCTACAAAAACATTAAAACTGTCTTGTTGTATGGAAAAGTTGGCAACCAAAACATGGAAAAAAAATCTTGGGGTCCAACAATTTGGATAAGTCCACCATGTGAAGTTTTAACAGACAGTTCACATTATTATGCATTCTGGGATCACTGCTGTATCAGGAAAATCATCCCAGAGTCTTCCAACGCTTGTTTCTTGTAGGACAGTTCATCTCGTTGACATGCATTAGCTCATCTGATTGGCTTAAGTGAGCTAATTTTTTTTATCTGGAATGTATTCCTATCATGATAGGTTTGTGCAACAATTTTCTAGGCAAAGTATAGCATTTGGTAAGATTCAGAAGCAAATAAAATGTGAGATGAAAAATTCTAGCTCCTCATCATCTTTTGATGATAAGTCAGCTGGCAGCTTCTCCTCTGACACAGCTAAATCTGATGACCTGGATGATTCTTTTGATGATCTGCCTCCGCCATTGGTGGCTTCTGTCATGGAAGGACAGCTAAATGCTGATTTCAAAATGGATGATTCTTTCTTTGAAGAATCTGTCTCTGACACATCTGAAGCTGATGACCTGGATAAGGAGCTAGAAGATATAACAGAGAATGTTGAATCTTTAAGCACATCAGACTTGAGTGGTCGTGATAGTTCAGAGTCAAGGATGGAACCAGCTACTGGTTCCCTTTCCTTGAAGAAACAAGACAAAAAACGGGTTTCTAAGAAAAAGATAATTGCAAAAGGAGGGGGGCAGAAGGTTCCGAAGTTGGACATCCCAGGGTCTGCAAAGAGGTGATTTATTACATCTTGGAGTCTACTAAACATTAGTTTCTGTTTTTATTCGTTTTTAATGTATGTGTTGATCTTAAACAAAATGCAGGTTAAAGATGAAGGAGAAGGCAGTGCTAACAGATGTGTTCACTAAATATGGATTAAAAGCTACTATGGCTTCAACGAAAGAGAGTTGAACTGTGTTATTTCCATTATTCAAACTGCAGTGCGGAATTTGGGAGCTTAACTTGCAGTCTATTGTAATTTGTATTCTTCCGACCCCTTTCTAGTTCATCTGGTACATAAGATCTTTGAAATCCATCCACTTTTTCAGTGACATGAATTTCAGTTTCAATTTTTTATGGTCCGTCTTCTCTTGCATTCACGCATTACATTTTTTGGGTTGAAAGATTTTGGAGTTCTTAGTGTATCCTTTAAAACTTGTCTCTGTAATATGAGGTATTATTTGTGACCTAATATGGCTTTCTTAGTTTCAAATATAATATTCTTTTTTCCTGTTTGGCTAATTTGTTTTCTTATTTAATTTTACACCTTTCACCAATAAGTAATGAACCTATTAGTGGATTAACTTGACGAGACTCTCGAAGTCTCAACTTCAAATTTGGTTCCATTTTTCACTTGAGTACAGTTTTATGGAATTCTATTGTAATTTATTATTGTCTCTCTCCGTTCGACTCTTATAATATATCAATAAAAAAAAAAAAAAAATCCAAAAACTGAATCAGGAGGAAATTAGATCACTGTAATAAATTCGTTAAAAGAAATCGAAACTAAATTATTTGTATATAAAATTTCGTTTGAACCATATTTGCTAGATTTTGAATTTAAATCTTCATACCTTAAGCACCTTGAGAAACAATACAAACCTAGCATAATGTCAATTTGTGTCATGTATTAATTTATACCAAAATGATATATATATATATTCCTCTTTCAACAGAAAATCATGATTGGATACTAACAATTGAGCTCAAGGTGAATGTGCTAATTTTGCAGAAAAAAGTTAGGCAATGAGCTCCAATCCTTTCCAACTACACCTGCAACCAAGAATCGTGGTTTGATCCTCCAACCAAGACATCTGAAGAAATCTTTAGCTCGAAGAACAACGGATAAACAAGAATGTGATGTACTTGATGTCTGATTCAAGTGAAAAGAATGTAGTAGGCGACCACAAATTACACTGATACTACTCAAACTCCTCTTGAACTTCACCATCTGCAAGAGATAGAGAGCCTGTTAATTTAACAAAATAACAAAATAAAATATAGCTAGGCATTTTATCCAAAAAATAAATAAATAAAAATGAAGCTAGACCTAGGCTATATGGACGACAACATGACATCTTACCAGCTAGATGGATGGCTAGGTTCGCTTGAGCATCAGCCTCGGAGTTAAATTCCTATGAAATGTATAGGTAAACAAGGTCAGCAAATTAACCAACAAGGCTAAAAAAGCATCAGAAGCAAAATTTTACACATTTGATCTATGATGGCTTACTGATAACCGTAGGACATGGTTTCATTACTAGAAAAAATGCTCAAGTTCAAATTGACAGTAGCCACTCATTTTGTATCTTAAATCCAGCCCTTTAAGCAGAAGGAAGAAAATACTGAAAATCTTAAAACCTCAATTCTTGGTTGGATTAAGAAGTTTAATCAGGTCCTCTAAAAAAATTGATTTTTGGTAAGTCTATCCAACCAAATTGTAAACCTCAAACTTACACAGCACAGATTGGTTATAGCTAACTTACAACAGATAACACCCTTACATGTTGATAAAACAAACAAAAGAAAGTCAACCTGGCTTGGATCTCAGTAGCACTATACCAAATTGCATTCCTAGTCAAGGCACAACACCAAGCAGTGCAATGTCGTTTGCAACACAAGTAACCTGAACAACTAGCACACTAATTCTCAAAAGAAAAATTGGCGAGCAAACATGATTGTTCCTTCATCTAGTTTTCCAGGATTGATTCTTCAGCTTCAGGCATAAAAAAACACCGCTCAAAAACTATGGCATGGTTTCTTGAGAACAGTGCCTTTGTGGATTTCCGCCACAAGTGTTAAGACATCCTTCTTCAGAAAGAGGGTGGATGGAATATAATGTCAACAAAGGGACCGTATATATACATTAGAACACCAATTATAAATATTTTTTGAAATTGAGCACTTATTCACTGTAATGATTATCAATCCCTGCTTAAAGCAGCACTATAAATGAGAATCTGAGAACCAAAAGCCCTGTTATTCATTCTGAAGGAGCCAGCATGGCATAGGATACGTCCTTTTAGATAGAGGTAATGATAGAATGTGAGAGAGCATTTGAAAACACACTATATGACCCACAAAATACTAATATCAGCCCAAGAACCACAGGCATAAAGAACTGCACTAACCCGCAGGACATGACTGATGTGAAAAGAAAGAAAACTATTCTTTAGCTTTTTAGCTTCTTCGTACAAGTTGGTGATGTTCTCGTGTTTGGCCCTCCATGAACCCTGAATCTGCACCAAGTAAAATTCTCAATGTCAAACTGAGGTAGAATGAGACATATATATGGCCACAACATATAAGAACCAAAACTTAGGACATGGAAGTAAAAGAACAGAAATTCTTCGCTTTTTTCAAATTAAAAGAAATCACCACCTAAGGCTATGGATGAGCCAAGTCAAGCTAGGCCAAGCCAAGACAAGCTTTAAAAAAGTTGAGTTTGGTTTGATCTGATCCATGTAAAATTCTCAATCTCAAACTGTGGTAGAATGAGACATATATATATGACCACTATTATACAAGAACCAAAACTTAGGACATGAAAACAAAAGAACGGAAATGGTTAGCCTGTTTTCAAAATTTAAAGAAACAACCACCTTAGGCTATAAATGAGGCAAGTTGAACTAAGCCAAGCCAAAAAAAGCTTTAAAAAATTTGAGCTTGGTTTGATTGAAAACATAGCATCCTAGCTCAGTCAATCTTGAGTTGAGCTTAGCCCCTAAGCTTAGCTTATGAACAATTACACCACACTCATGCTACATTCGGCTCACATTTTTAAGAAACATAAGCACAACTCGAGTCGACCTTGAGTTTTTCTCATTTGATATCAAAAAAGCATCATCATTAAAAATGATGTTGCATTATTCCAAAAAATAAAAAGTATCTAGAAAGGATTTGTGAGATTCATAAACAAAAAATGGAACTTTAAATAGAGATGGCAGAGGATTCTAAAACAAACATGAAACAATAGAATCACAGATGAGTATTTATGTTAGTTCCTTATCGAGATTGCTCATGATGCAATTGATGTACGGCAAGGGTAGAAATTGAAGAAGGAGATGGTAAATGGAATAGAAATACCTAGACTCCACAAGGGGCGTTTCCTGAATACACAAGAACAAAATACAAGAGGAGATCCACCTCTTAGAGTTTGCTTTGAGCAAAAGTGAAATGAAAAACCAAAGTAGCAGATTGTGTGTGTGTGTTTTTTTTTAAGAAATAATAAAAAAAAAAAAAACACAAAAGGGGTGGGGGCAAAAAATGGCCATGGAAGGCAAGGCAGCAAGTTGGAAGAGTGCAAAATCTTGAAAGCGGGCTGTATAACCTTAGAGTTGAGATGAAAATAATGATAATTTTATGGCTCGCAACATACTCAAAACAGCATGCTTGAAAAGCATGTGGCTCAGCAACATAATCAAAACAGCGATATCATGGTGGTTATTGCAAATGAACAAGTTTGTCATGAGGAGCATAAAGAACCACCAATCATCAAGAACTAATAAAATTACAAATATCTTGAAAAGAATTCTTCTACCACATCACCAACGTAATCACTCTTTGAGGACACTCTGGCTTTGTTGTTTATTAAACGAGTCTAATAATGAGGCCTGAATTTTGGTTGAAGAGCTCAAGAATAAGCTACAGTTAAGCCCAAATTGCTCATGAACATCTAGGTTATTTTGTAACTCTTCACAACAGTGAAAAGTTTGTTCCCACCCTACATATTCAAAGTTGGGAAGAAAAATACAAGGTTGGGGTGACAAGAAAAATATAAACATCAGGGATAGTTCAAAGGTTTTCAGCCTCCACTACTCCTGCTGTTTTTCTTTTTCTTTTTCTTTTTCTTTTTTCCTAATCAATAAGTAATCACCAAATCTAACTCCGTAAAATGGAATAGACTTTGGTGAAGCAGCCAACAAATTGATCCCCGAAATGCCACCAAAAAAAAAAAAAAAGGGAAAAAAATACTTTTAACTGATAAAATATGAGCCATATTAGGAAACAAGTGAAAATCGAAAGCAAACAATTAGATGAAAAATCAAATTAATGAAGTTATTTCGATACAGAAATGGCATGCTAACAGACAAGCCAGGTATCAACAGCAAACCAACCTGCATACAGACAAGCTTGGAGTCACCTTTGACTTGAATTTTTGTATAACCTTTATGAAGAGCATACTTCATTCCCAATAAGAAGGCTCGATATTCAGCCATATTATTAGTTGCTGTGCCCAGTCCTTCCCGTAATCTGCAGATCTACACAAACTGAAGGTTTAGAAAGATATAAATACTACTAAAGGTAATACATGGTGATATAAAGTAAAAATGCATACCAAGCTTCCATCATCAGTTCGTAGGACGGCTCCTGCCCCAGCTTGTCCAGGATTTCCTTTTGAAGCACCATCGAACTCGAGAACACAGGATCTCTGTGAGTAAAAGATCAGGTTTTCTTTGTGCCATGAATTCATAAAAACATGTATTTTGAAGCATTTACTAGCTGATCCTGGGAAGACATAATTACAATTAACCTAACAACATGATTTTCTACTATCAGATTATGGAAATCAATCTGGCCAAAGAAAGCATACATAATGTTGCATCCATAATTTTACATCCACATACACTATTGGAATTCTGTGCTTCACACTCAGCTTGATTATCCAAATTGGCATGCTTTCTCGTCATAGATGTTGATCCAGCTATGTCCTGTTATCAATGGATATTCCTTTATTATTTTTTTAAAAAAGGCCTCTAGCTAGAGGAGGAATCTCATAAACAAAGATTCACAACGACACATCCTCCAATGGATAGAACCAAGTAGACTAGCATGCATCAAACTTACTGTGATTTCTGATCCCAGGACTTCCAGTGATCTCTTTTTGGTTGCATCATTTTTGCAAGTTTCAG